CAAACAGATACTTGCTCTTCCAAGATTCTGTGCATTGTTTTAGAAAGTTATGGGGCTCTATTGTGACTTGGTGCATGAGTGTCCCTGGTCAGAGCCTCCCATACACTGTCATGGGGATTAGCAGTATCTGGAGCCCCAGACCACTGGGAGACCTGGGCATACTTTCCCCACAGCCTTGAATTCACTCTTCTGTTCCCTCCCCCACCAGAGCAAACCAGCTTGGGTTGTAGGGAGAAACACTTTCTGGATGGAACAGGTTGGCAATAAATTGCTACCTGCTCAGGAGAGTAAGGAGGACACTATGGGCTCCTATACATGTGCAGGGAGCTGGCTCTGACATGGAAATCCAGCACGTCAGAGCAGACTTAGTTAATTGAGTCTGCTGGAGCATGGAAATAAATGGGCTCCAGCAGACTCTGGTGTCATGTGTATTACCATCCCCGTGCTGAATAATGGCAGTGGGATGCTTTGAACTAAAGCTTGTTTGATGAGCTTTAGTTCAAAGCACTCTGCCACCATTTTTCATTGTGGGGAATGCTAATACATGTGACGCTCAGGTGCTTTTAATTAAAAGCACTAGCTAATTAAAGCACCCCCACACCTCCCGGGGCATGTGCAAAAATGCCCTATAGGTGCAAATAGAAGTTACAGTACATTTTTCATATGATCAAGCCCCTGAAAGTGCTCTACAACTGTGCTGTGACACATGTACATGGCTGCAGAGATCTTTTAAAGTGGTCGATTGTGTGAAAAGTTAATCTTCCTCAGGTGAGGTATCAGATGAAAGTGCTCTGCTTTAAAGTACCTTAGGGAACTTGTATTCCCTAGGGTTAATTTTTCATGTGTTCAGGCCTGGGTTGATGCAGCCCAGCCCTGCCTTTGGGGCTGTCCATAGGAAGCCATGAGCTGCTGGCTTGCCTGGCCTGAGCTGAAGCGTGGGGGGTGGATTGGAGTACCCCTTGCCTTGTGGCTCCCCTTTCCCTCCTGCTGGGGTACTGGGAGGCAGCTAGACTTGCCCCATGGGGTGGGGTGGCTCCAATCCACCTGCACCTCTCTCTCAGGCCAGGCAAAGCCAGCTGGCAGCTCACTACTTCTGGCTTCTCCTTCCCCCCTCCCTCCATGCTGACAGTCCCAGAGCTGGGAGTGGGGCAGGGCTGGGGAGAGGGATGGTGCTGCTGGTGCCACTCACAGGGGATAAGGCTGCGCCAGCTGAGCACCAAGCCCAGCTGTGCCCAGCCCTGTCCCCTGCAAGCGGTGCCAGGCTTGCAGGGGATGGAGCTGAGCACCCAGCCTGGCCCTGTCTGCTGTGAGTGGTGCTGCTGAACACTGAGCCCGATGCTGCTTGCAGGGGATGAGGCTGTGCCAGCCGAGCAGGGATGGAGCCAGGCTTGGTGCTCAGCTGGCATGGCCCCACCCCCTGTGAGCCTGGAGCCGTTCGCAGAGGAAGGGGACAGGGACGGGGCTGGGTTTGGCTGGGCTCAGCACTTGGCTGTAGCAGCCTCTTCCTCTCCAGCAGCACCGCTCGCAGGAGATGGGGCCATGCCAGTTGAGTGCTGAGCCCAGCCAAGCCCAGGCCTGTCCCTGATTTTTTGATGTGGCATGGTATATAAGTTGAGCTTGATTTTCAAGACACAAAAATTGGGCTTCAAAACCCGATTTATACACCATGAAATATGGTAAATCAATGACAGAACTTCAATGACTGACTGCAATAGGGACAACACTCCACATGTCCGCTTCATCAACTCTGACAGTGCTGCAGCTTCCACTATCATCTTTTGCTCAGGGTTATGCCTAAACTCACAGTCTAGCCTGCTTGCTCATGCATTGCTAAACTCACAGATTAAACATTTTCTCCCATTCCTTTAAAAAATGTTAATATATGGATATTAAAAAAACATTATTCCAAGCCTACAATACATGCACATGGACACTTAGGTGGGTGGAAACCAATACCTTTAAGAGAATAAACCAAAATCAAGACAAATATTTGGATTTATGATACAATGTATGGCACCTTTCTATATTAAATAAGAAACATAAAAGAAAACCTGTGGATTAGAGAAACATTAAAAAGGTTCTTTATATGATGGACTACTCTGTTCAGTCATTCTTGACAAGCCTGGCATTTTTTTTTCATATCCTATTGCCTAGGGAATGTACTAACATAATTCCTGTTAACTCAAATGAAGTTTAAATTCATGAACCTCCCCTTCCATGCTTGGGAGTGTATGAAGAACAAACCTTTACATTTTACTTTTTATCTTGATTAACACCACTTTTAGTCACTCGGGCAGCTGAATAGCCATGACAATTTCCTGTCACTCTGAATCATTTAGGTGCTGAAATATCACACACCTTTCATTTTGTAAAGATAGATGTCTTAATAATTCCAGGTCTGCACGCCATTGCATGCATCAAAAGGGGCCTAGATATCTCTGGAGGGTATGTCACAGAGTAGTTTTAAAATCCATCCAGATTATGTAGCCTTAAGTGGCTATGAAGTAAGGTCTATGGCCTTGCTTATAGGGTGATTAAACTGTCAGTACAGAATTTCCCCTTGTGGTATATGTAATCTCCACAGCCAGCAAATATTTTGCCCTGAATCTACAAATAGTGTTTTGAACCTTGTGAGCTTGTCAGCTTCTATAATTTTAATGCAAATCTCATTATATTTTTAAAAGCCCCAACTTCTAGAATCATGTGACTGTGAAAGTATCTAAATTTGTTTTTTTAATTAGCTTCCTAGCTCTTGTGGTTGCAAAAAAGGCTTGAAAAAGTTCATCCTAAAGGCCTGAAGTGAAGAAGGTAAGTAAAAAGACCCCAACATTTATTACTTTTAGAAGCTGTATTATTTTAAAAACAATAACATGAGCTTGTAGATCCTGAAGCAGAAGTTTTGAATACTATTGGCAGTACTGAAGATACTGGCTTTGATTCTGAGTTGCTCCATTGCAGGAGTGGGGGTGATTATGGGTATAGTTAGTTTTAATCTACCTTTCTGCTCCTCATACGATTGACTGTCAGTAGGAGAGAACAGTGAGTTCACTCCACTAGACGATCCTAGCAGGGTGCAGGGCCTGGGGCAAATCAGCCTGTGCGTGGTCCAGATGCGAAGAAGCCAGTGGCAGCAGCAGCAGGGGGGCATGGAGGGGAGGGTGGCAAGTGGCCAGACACGAAGCTAGTGGTGGCACAGAGTCACCAGCACTAGGTGGGCCCTGCAGGAGGTGCCACGGCTGCTCCGCCAGGCTCCGCGGGGCCCCCCAAAGGGCAGTCACTCCCCCTCCAGGGATGGCCCTGCTTACCCACATCAAGCACATTTTGGTCTCAGTGGGTGCATCTACACATGCAATTAATGCATCTGAATTTACCGCACAATAAACTTAGGCGCATGAAATATGCCCCCAGGAGGCACATAGGTTGAGTGACTTGAGTAAAAACAAAATGATAAACCTTCTCCCTGCAAATGTGTTGGGATTATCCGGACATCTACAATAAATATTTTCATAGGTCTCGGCCTTGCACCGTGTTCAGTGTTTTCACACACTTCATTCTCACAGAGGTGCTCCATATCTCTCAAGAGCAAGCCCTCTCAGAAGAGAGATCTGTTGTATAGAAAGAATACGGAGTTTAAAATTGGGAAGTGTACGAGGGCCAGATTTTACAAGGTGTTGAGGCTCAATCTCAAATTCCATTGACATCACCCATTCAGCACTTCACAGTATTTTGTGGGCACTTCTGGTCTTTAGTAAGCAGTACCGATTACCACTGTTTACCATAGTCCTCCCCCAGCTTTTCACCTCAGTGGGTATCAGCAGACATCCTGCCTGGCTATCTTCACAACAACAGGCTCCAAATGTAACAGCATCCTACCAGGATAAGGCAGCATAACAACACACACATTTCCTTTTCTTTTACTCACTAGCAGCGTTTTACAATGACTGCTAATCTTTAATAGCATGAGTAATTTGTGACTAATGTGGGTACTTCGTGGAATAGATATGAGGCAGTACATCACTGACACGAGTACAACTTCTAGTCTCACAATTTGTTAAAATAGGCTGAAAATCTAGCAGTAGTAGCTACATACTGTGCTGTGCATGGAGAATATTGAATCTTCTAGTATGAAGTAGCCTATGTTTCTCTCTTTCTGCCTTCCCCTCTCATTATTGTCTCTTATTCTGGCATACGGCAAAGCAGAATTTTCTGAAAAAGAAGCCAAACAAAACCCCCTCCCCTACAAATTAAGTCTATCATCATCACTGAGGGCAAAATACATATTTTAGGTCTCTTTTTAATGAAGAGCCTTTCTCTTTCAGTACTCATCAGATAAAATCGTATAATCTGTGCTCTGACATTATATAATGCAGCTTTTATAGATGATTTCATAACATTGTAGAAGAGCATGAACTGTCCAGAGACAGGAAGACTGAATTTTATCGTCTGCTTCAGGCTGTTGATTAAGACAGACCCTGGAATGCGACTGCATGGTTTTACATAGAAAAACAAAAAATTACTAAAATCCCCAACAAGTTATTTCATGTCTTGAGTTTAAAAACAATATACCATTAAGGTGCTTCCATTTTAGATTGGATCCTTTTCTTGTAACTCATCTGATAAGATGAAATCTCTGAGTCCATGACATTGTAATAATGCATTTTTTGCTCGACGTCATGCTTTTTATAGGAATCAAACCTTTCATCATCATAGCTTTAATATGTAATCAATGACTGTTAGCTCCAACAAAACCCAAATATACATGAGATAACAACCTTACTTGGTAGGGGATGTTTAGCATAGATACCTGTGGTTATTGCAACCCGTTAAGGATCTATAACCAATATTTCAAAGCAAAAAGTTTATTGTAAAAGCCAGTTCACCTGGAGAACTGTTTGGGTAGCAAAAATTGCTTCTGCAAAGCCCACCGTTTCGTTTAGGAGATTGCTCATCTGTGAAAGATATTAAAAGTACAAGCTGAAATGCCAAAGGAAGAGACTTACCTTAAGGTGTCAAGTTCAGTCCACCCCTTTTCAGGCCACTGTTCTTTTTCTCACGCTAACTTCTTCCAAGTGTTCATATGCTGCGATTTTCCTTTGCTCTTCTGTGCTACTCACACCATGTTCATTATTCAACCTCATACGAAGGATTCTGAAGTGAATAACAGAGTTGTGCTGTTTATTCTTGGTGGCTACAGTAAAGCTGTGGCTCTTTTGAGCTCAATTAGTTCTAGATTGTTTGGCTAACTGGCAGCTACACTTCCTCCTATTCTTTCCCGACTTAGTTTTCCTGCCTCCAGTGGAGCTTTTTCCCTTTTTTTTTGAACTATAAATAGGTCTGCCACAACACATAACATAGCAATAAGGAAGGCAGGAAATGCATTTAAACAAAGGGGAGATCTTGTAGTTTTTTTCTAGTGGATACCTATTTGAGTGTAAAATACTTAGAGGAGGTTTCTTAAGACGTGTTATGCAAATACCATCCACATCAAAAGTACCGGTCTTTCTGAGCAGAACATTATTGGTTCTAAAACATTATTAGGAGTCCATCTGGCTGCACTGCACAACACAGTAATGGGGCACAATGGCAATTAGACCATTTTCTTTAATAAGTGCTTCACTTTTGTGTTTATTTTGCTTACTTTCTCCATCTCAAAATCAGGCGAAGGCTTTGTGGGGAAGTTTTAATAAAAGGAGGACAGAGAAAGCTGTTTAGAAAATGCTTTATTTTTCGAGCATCATCATAAGAGTAGGATTTAAAACTAAGCTTAAGTTTGACTTCCAACTCCATTAATTTTTTTCCTTTTTTAGAGTTACTACCCATTCTGAAAGTTGAAGCAAAATCTATGCACATGGAGAAACAGTTATTCTGCTACATATATTCTGATACATTTTTGCATGGGTCACCATTCAAGGGTGACTGGGATACAAACATCAAACTTTTGTTAATTGTCTTGAGAACTGAAGAATGGAAGCTTGATCCAAACCCTATTGCAGTCAGTTGGAGCCTTTCCAGCCTGAACTGTTTCACAACAGTGTTTTTTCTATGAATTTCCCTGGGGCTTTAGATTAGGCCCTAAATCGGATTTAAAGAAAAATGATTCAGCACTTTTCACACTGATCAATCCAAGTGATCCTTCATGTGCATGCTGTAGTTTTCTTTGTTTTGATCAATCAGAAAAGTTAGATTGGTTTATGACATGGGAGCTGCTGAAATGCTTTAAATGTGGAGGCACACATAAGCAACTAACTTAACTGGGGGATCCTGTTTTTTTCTGGTAACCCCCCCAATTTTTTGACTAAAAAAAGTATATTAATGGTGTTTCAATTAATCATGGAAAAATGTGGATTTTGGGTTACTTTTTTAATCCAGAAATTGGGGATTTTTTTAATCAGAGAAAACCAGGATCCCTGCTCATAAGGCTAATAGCAATATTAAAGGCATAGTTTAAAGAAGCTTTTGAAATTAACAATTTTTAATTTATACTTTTCCTCCCTTCCCTTTCTCTTTTTTCTTTGCATTCTTTCTACCTCACTTCCCTA